AACTGAAGGCACAAGCCCGGGTTCGTTTCTCTCTAGCCCCCCCGGCGGCCTGATGCCCCGGCCTGGCGTTGGCCGCTCCCCGGGCTGCAGGGGCGGGCGCCCGGCCCTCGGGCTCCCAGCCTGTGGAGGTCGGGTCGGCGCCGCGGCCGTGCCGCCCTTCCCCGCCGCACTCCCTGCCCGTCGGCACCCGCCTCTGTCCCCGGGGCCCGGCCGAAGCGTTAGGTTAGAGCGCGGAGAGCGTTCGCGAACGTGACCCGAGAATCCCACAACTCAGTTATTTGTTAAAAAGGCCACTGCCCAGACGCCTCCGGATTCGGTCATCCGAGGGCCAGCCCCCTGTAGGTTTTGCTAAGATTCCAAATTGTCTCTTCGTGAGCTCAAGTCACTTCCATAAACCGTCAAAGTTTCATGCCACCGATTTTCTGCTTCTCTTGGCAGAGAATTCGCATCTAATTAAGTGGATCTAAGGCTTTAATATCTTAATGTAGCTACCTGGCCGTTATTTTGCCGAGCTAATGGTGAACAAGGTTCTAGTTGTACTGTGTTTATTTGACTATACCTTGTCCAGATGTCATTATAACTGATAACGGTTCCTTTGTGGTTAAACTAACAACCCAGCCACCTGGGCACGAAACGGTCTAAAGATCCAAACAGGACCACGGTTAAAAAATCTGTTACCAGTGCTCTGTGTTATCATATTTCTCTTTATAGAATTACTGGCCTAATAAAATTGACTACTGAGAACTATGCATTAACTAATGCACAAATGCATTAACTTTGTGCTCTTACCTAATGTCTCTTTACTCATGAATCGACTTTTTTTTTTTTGATGAAAGATCAGTGTTTGTTATAGCAATATGCATATTGTCCCCCCAAAAGGAAACAAATGTTCGAAAATAGGAGATTCCAACGCACAGATAGAGCCTTCGCCTGGCATTCACATCTGATATTAGTTTAATTTACTTTAAATAAATGTTAGGTTTAATTTGTCTTTTGCCAACAATTCCTTCCTCATATCAAACACTGACACAGTCAGCCTATTTTGTGTAATGACAAAGGCAATTTTTGCTATTGAAATTTAAGTGTAAAACGAAATATAACATAATTCAGAGCTTGGTGAATAAACTCCTATTTTACTTTGCTTAAATGCCATCTAATACTAAATGGTTTGCTGTGCTGTTAACTCTTCTCAGATCCTTACTTCTGATAATGAGAAACATAAATAGGAATAAAACTTTTTATAAGATGTGTACTTTCTGGGCTGGTCCCATGGCTCACTCGGGAGAGTGCCGTGCTGGTAGCGCTGAGGCCGCGGGGTCGGATCCTATATAGGGATGGCCGGTGCGCTCACTGGCTGAGCATGGTGTGGACGACACCAAGCCAAGGGTTACTATCCCCTTACCAGTCAAAAAAAAATATATATGTGTACTTTTTGTTTTTTATAGTGTTATGTTGGTCAAAGAAAAACTTTTGTTCTCTTTACTGATTGTGAATTAATAGAAGTTTGTTTTGATTTGGTTGGTTATATTGGGTAAACAGTTATAAGTCAAGGCATATTTTTGGAATTGGAGAAGTGCAGTGTCCAACTCTGAGGGCCATAGATAGCATCGACTTTTTAATTTTCAAAATTATATTGTAATTGATCAGGGCTGACTTGAGGAATTCTGTAACTCCTATTTGGAGAAGGTTACATGATTTTTTAAAGTGGTTTAAAATACTTTGGTCAACTAGGAAGCTTCGTAGTATAGTCCTCAGGTCAAGTTTCGAGTCTCTTTACTTACTAATTTGAATACATCTCTGTACTATTAAATGAGTTTTTCTAATCTTAAGTATTAAATGAGTCCTCGTTGATTTTTTTGTTTGTTTTTTTTTGGAGAAATTTCCAAACATGGGTGTAAATATGGCTTCTTTTTTATTAGTTATTCTCATTCTGGCCATGATACTTTCCTACTGTGGTTAATATAAAAATTATTTTTAGTTATAAAAGAGTGATGAATGAATCAGCCTGTAAACAATATAAGTGAATGATACAGCTCATCCATGTCTCGTGAGTAACTTTCATAGCTACTTAACTATGTCTTGAGAGATTTTCTAAAACTATGTGCCCCAGATCACTAGATTCTCTTCATTGCCCTCCTCTGGAGACAGATTCTTGTGGAGTGCAACTGGCTTTCCAAGGGGCTGTTTATAATACCAAAATGTCAGGAGCCTTTTCTAAAACTTTGGGATTTGTTTTCTGCTGATGCAGCCACAGACTAAAGTCCTAAAGGGATTCTCACTGTCCCACAGCACTCCTGACATGGCCTCCAGATTCTGGGCTGAGAAAAGCAGGGTTTTCAACCATGGGGCACAATTGAAACACCTAGAGATTTTTAAAATATACATGCCTAGGCCCCATCCCAGAGATTCTGGCTCAGTTAATATGAGATGTGCCTGGGCATCAGTATTTTTTAAAGCTCCTGAGATGATTCTGATATATGGAAGTTTGAGACCCACTGGCATGGAGAAATAAGCTGAAAGATCCTTCTAACTGCCTTGATTTATTCAGATATCTGCAGAGGCCAGAGTGAAGGGAGGCTAATGAAGCAGTACTGGACTGTAGCTCTTGGCCCTAGGTTTAGTGAACAGGTGTATATGTTTTCCTGGAACTTGCCTACCTGAGATTTCTCTGACTCATTTCTCCCAAGGAAGGAAATACGTGGTTAGCACAGAATTCCCTATATTAATTCACCCTGTCTTGTATCCGCGGGAGTGTGGTAGGTGTTGCGGGGCTTGGGAGCCTGAACAGCCTCACATTTTAGAGTTGGAGGCTTTGATCCATGGTCCTGAAGTTAAGGGCCGCCCTTTATGTCTCTTCTGTGTAAGCTGGCACTTAGCCCTGGGAAGGCAAAAGCAGTTCATGTTCTGAAGTTTTTCAGTCTGCTGAGGGAGACAATAAACACATCTTTTCAGTGTAGTAAGTGATTTGATGAAGGTTTGTTTTGGGAACACACGCTTAGCCTGTTAACTCAGGGAAGTTCTCCTGGAGAGAGAATGCCTAAACTAAGCCTTGGGACATGGTTTACTGTTTTGAGAAGGCAAGAAGAGAAGGTGTTTTAGGTAGAGGAACAACATTTTTTAAAAGACTTAGAAATGAGACATCCTACTTCAAGAAGAGAATTAGAAGTAGTTTTTGTATTATAGCTCAAGTTACTTAACTTTCCATATTGTTATGATAAAATTTGAGGTGGGGAGTGGTAGAAGAGGCTGTGAGAGGTAAGTTGGAGTCAGGAGATAGAGGGCCTTGTATATCATACTACTGGTGCTTGGATACTTATGGGTAGTTGGGAGCCACTGAAGGATTTTGAGCAAGGGAGAGGCATGGTCAGATTTGCTTTTTCAAATGTGAACTTAGAGGGTGAAACAAGGTGTAGTTAGGGGATCACAGGAGACAGATAATAAAGGCCTGAACTGAGGTAGTGGTAGTAGGGATGGTTAAGCACTGAAATTGGCAGTACTTAGTGATTGGTTGTATGTGGGGGAAGAGAGAAGAAAGCACATAGGAAGATTACCAGGCCTTTGGTTTGGGTAACAAAGTGGTATTTAACTGAGACTTGAGATCTAGAACAGCAGGTTTGGGGATTAGGTGTAGGGGGGGAAGAGTTCAGTTTAGACAATCTGAGTTTAAAGTCTATCCAGCAGGCAGGTAGATACATGAGATTGAAACTAAGGAACATACCCAGGGATGGATGTAAAGATTTGAGGTCTCAGCATAAGTGTTCATTAAAACCAAGAAAGCACATGAAATCAAAGAAAAGGTGTTAGGCAATGGGGGGATTGACAACTGAACCCAAGGGAATAGTGTTTTAGAGTGGATAGAAGAAGAAAAGTAAAATACAAACTTTGAGGCTACTTATTTACTCATGTGACTCATCAAGAAACGCCTGATAATTTTATCGCCATAGAAATGAGTTAGTGGGTTTCTAGTTTTGTAAGAAGAATAAAGACTCATGTACTCTGGTATGTAGTTAGAATGGCAATTCTAAATCCTTTGCCCTATCTATTATAAGTTCACATTTTGTGATAGAGTTTTGGTTGGATAAGGTCAGTCTATAATTGTTGTTTTATATCTGCTTTTTAAGTAAACAGTTAATGTTCCCTATGATCTCATGCAATTTTTGAGAAAGGTGCAGACCACTTAAGAAACGTTAGTATGGAATCCTGTGTTAGACAGCTAGAGGTGATGGATCTCACTCTTTTCTTTTCTGCATATCTTTGGGATGAAGAAATTTGGCTCTCTTTTTAAACAAAATTTGAATTTTAGTTTTATGTATACTATATATAATATATAGTAAAATTTATTATTAACTTATACACTTCAGTTTAATTTCAAATTGGCTAAAGAGGATTCTGGAATAACAGTAGTATAGGAATAACATGAGTAGGTTTCTATTTTCTACCTGGGTAGATTTTTCTTCCTCTAGCCTACCTTCCACATTACTGTTATAATTAATTTACTAAAACATAACTCTCATCTTGTCATTCCCCTGCTTTAGAAATTACTCAGGGGCCGGCCCTGCGGTGCACTCGGGAGAGTGCGGCACTGGGAGCGCGGCGACACTCCTGCCGCAGGTTCGGATCCTGTATAGGACTGGCCGGTTTGCTCACTGGCTGAGCGTCGTGCAGGCGACCCTACACCAAGGGTTGTGATCCCCTTACCGGTCACGAAAAAGAAAAAAAAAAAAAAAAAAAGAAATTACTCAGTAGCTCCTCGTCTAGAATAAAGTCCACTCTCATGGGCTGGATAGTTAGCCTTCTACAATCTGGTCCCAGACAACTTTCCTCATCTCATCTGCTCTTTTCCCTGTGTAGTCCTTATAGTAACCATCCCAGAGTGCTTGTCTTTCTGGAGAATTCCATGTACTTCCATTATATTGTGCCTGTGTGTGGTCTGCCGAGGACATGCTTCTCACCATTTCTCAATTTGCCAAAATCCTCTTCATCTCTAGCTTTCTAGATAACCTTTCTTTCTCCCCAGGGTGGAATTAATTCATTCTATCCTAGGTATTTATGTAGCAATTTGAGCATGTAGATGTTCATTAGTTATAAGTAGTTATGTCTATTTATATTCTTTGAGGGATGTAAACCTTTTGAGGGTAAATATGGTGACTTATCATTGGTTCATTTTATAAATATTGAATTTCTACAAAATGCCAGTCTCTTTTTCAGTCACTATACTTATTATATTGGCAGCACCTACCACAAGGGTTTAGTCCTGGCTCTGAGAGTATCAAACCTGGTGGTAACAGACAAGATTATGCATAAAATTTCAGATAATATTTCAGACCAAGTTGTTTTAAAATGTGGTGTTTAAAAAAATGTGTTTACTTTTCTACTTTTGTGCTTTAGTCAAAGAAGAAAGGACTGAGTGTAGAAGAAAAGAGAGTTCGTATGATGCAAATATTTTTTGAAACAGTAAGTTGTTTTCCTTAAGATTTTTAGTATCTTGTGTAATTTTCATGTTAAATATATGTCATTCAATGTTAACTGTCCCTTCTTCATTAGAGATTAATATTGACCAGTTTCTTAAAGAATGAAGAAGATTCTGCAAACATTTGTAGTTCCGGTGAGCTATGGAGTATGAAAGAACCATATCCTATTGTTGGTAGAGTCTCTTTTTTTGGGGGGGGTTGGTTAGTTCAGGAATCCAAACCCTTGACCTTCGTGGTGTTATCAGCACCGAGCTCTAACCAAGTGAGCTAACTGGCCAGCCTGGTAGAGTCTCTTCCCTCCAGACTGTTACATACTGGCACCAGATTATCTTTCTGAAGCACATATTTGATTGTTTCCTCCCCTTTCTGCCTGAAAATAATAATGGATAATAGTTCACATGTACTGAGTGCTGCCTAGGTGGCAATCACTGTTCCAACACTTGGTGTAGATTATCTTTTATCCATAAATCAACTCTGTAAGGTAGGAACTATTGTTGTCATCCTCATTTTGTAGATGAGGACACCTGAAGCACAGAGTACCTACGAAGCTGGTCCTGGGTCTCAAAAAATAGAAGTACCAGGATTCAAATGAGGGAGGATCATCTGATTTTAGAGGGAGTACAAAATACTGCCTCTTTTCATGTATAAATTTGTCTATAGTGTAACACACATATGATGCGGCCTCAATTTATTCCAGAAATTTGTGCCTGCCACTACAGGTTGAGCATCCCAAATCTCAAAATCCAAGATCTGAAATGCTTCAAAATCTGAAATTTGAGTGCCAACATGATGCTTAAAGGAAACGCTCTCTGGAGTATTTTGGATTTGCAGATTTGGGATGCTCAACCCAATGCAAATATTCCAAAATCCAAAAAAATCTGAAATCCATCTGGTCCCAAGCTTTTTGAATAAGGGATGCTCAACCTGTAATGGAAAGTATGTTTAAGACTTCAACTCCTAAGTGACAGAGTCAGAGTTCAAACCCAGACACCTGGCTCTAGAGCACACTCTCTTCAGTGGATTTTCTTTGCTTCCATGTCAAATAGACCTTTGAGCTAAAAGAGAAAAATCGAGTCCATATGGCTTGGCAGAACCTTCAAAGCCTAGTCAGTCCCACCCTACTGGCTGTTTTTATCATATACAAATGTGAATAAGATGGGGAAAATGGTAAAATAATATTAAATTAATAACATCCTTTTTCATTTTGGTAAGGCAGATATTTAGTAAAACAAGCAAAATAATCTGTTTTTTTCTTTCTTTCTTTCTTTTTTTTTAAGTATTTGCCCTCTAAGTGTAATCTTACTGTTCCTAAAAGTCATTGGCAGTTCAGAACAGGGTATCATACTAATGATGATATGATTAGGAAGATAAATTGATGAAGTTTGTATGTGAAAATTCTGACAATTTATTCTGCTGAGTTGAAATATTTTTCTTGTGGACTCAGAGCAAGAAAAGTAATTCCTATTAGGCATGGACAGCTGGGGAGAGGAGTTGGGGAAATTATTTTGTCCTTTACAATATTGTTTTTTTTTTTTTTCTTTTTGTCTTTTTTCGTGACTGGGAACGGATCGCAACCCTCAGTGTTGTGCCCGTACCAGACTGGGACCAGCAACGGGATCGCAACCCTCGGTGTTGCTCCCGCCCCTCGCTCAGCCAGTGAGCGGCCGGTCTGTATGTGGGATCCGAACCCTCGGCGGGAGCGCCGCCGCACTCCCAAGCAGCGCACTGTAGCAGTGCGCCACCGGGCCGGCCCACAATATTGTTAATTATCAAAAATAATATTGTAAGTATCAAAGTTGGCTGTTTCTGATTGAAAATTTTTCAACTCTGCCCTCACCGAATAACATTAAGACATTAAAGACTATGATACTAATGAGTATTAGCAGCTTAAAGAAGTTCAGTAATCAGTGAGTTTTTCTGTAAAGCTAGGAATTAATTGTATTATTGATTGATTGATTTCAGTACATATATTCCTGTTTTTTTCTACATTATAGCCTAATCAGTTGCCGCTCACTTATTTAATTAGTTCTTTGATGGAATTGAAGAATATAATTGATTAGGGAAATGTAATGGAGACTATTTCATTTATTCTGTCATGAATGGGATATGGTATATACAGGATCCAGACTTAAGCCAAAAGTTGATAAATATTAGACATAAGCCCTTAAACAATTCAAAACAAATCAACAATATGGTGCAGAGTGAAAAGCATTGATCCTGAAATTCAGGTTCTGGAATGTGGATTCTAATTCCATTGTGGCAATTGGCAAGTAAAAATTCCAACATCAAATATGGTCACCTCCAGGGTTTGTTATATAGTTTGACTTTATGTAGATGTGAATAGTAGCTCTTTTTAAAACACTAATGTCATGGGAAAATGTTCATGATATAATGTTAAGTAGAAAAGGCAGAATGTAAAAAAAATGTAATGCAGTATGATCACAAATATTAGCAGTGATAATTGGATTTTATTTTATGCTCTATTTTCTCAGTTACCTACACTGAACATACTTTTTTAATCAAATGAGAAAACCAAGTAACAGAGCACCACATACTGTGTTGCCTATAATCATAAGTGGGCCATCCATGAAGTTTTGAAAATTTTTTAAAACCACGATCATTGGTAATGTCAGCTTGTGAAGAGTAAGAAACTTTAGGCACAAAATAGTCCACCAATTAACATTTGTTGAGTTTTTCTAAAAATTACCTCAGCAAACAAATGAGTGGCTCTTCATTGGCACACAAGTCTCTCTGGAATGACCATGCTTATACCCATAGAATTTTATATAAATGTATAAATAGAGAAAAAGAAACACAGACATAATCATATATGTATTGATAGATATGCATATAGATGGGACCGGCCCTGTGGCTCACTTGGGAGAGTGCGGTGCTGGGAGCGCAGTGGCGCTCCCTCAGTGGGTTCGGATCCTATATAGGGATGGCCCGGTGCGCTCACTAGCTGAGTGCAGTGCAGACGACACCAAGCCAAGGGTTGCGATCCCCTTACCGGTCCCCCCCCCCAAAAAAAAAAGATATGCATATAGATGCACATGTGTGTTTGAAGGTCTAATGTAATAAAAAGATTTCTTTACCCATTGCACTTAGAAAGAATATGCAAACAGTACAGCTCAATGATTGAGAACTTGCATCTGGAGCCTGTTTTACCCGACAGCTTTGTAACCTTAAGCGAGTTACTTGACTTCTCTACATCCCAGTTTCTTCATCTGTTAAAAAGGATGATAGTAATAGTACCCAGCTGAATGTTGGTATGATGATCAAATGTGATAATCTGTGTAAAACATTAATGTAAAACATTACAATGCCTAGGTTGTAAGAGCTTAATTAAATGTTGGCTAGTATTATAACTATGTGACTTCCATGGTATTTTGCACATATTTTTTTTTTTAAGAGCTAGAATCATTGTGTTCATCTCCCCTTTAATATCTCTGTTTAATGCTGAGGAGCCTAAGAACTAAAATATACTTGAGATCATTTATTTTGTCCACGTAAATGACCACACTTGAGGTCTGAGGCTAGTTTTTGCAAGCCCATTTATTTATACAGCAACCAACCCCACTGGGGTGGCCAGTATATCAGGGGCTCTTCCTTGGTAACCACATGCAAGTATAGGCAGATGCCTCAATGAGTTCATGATTTTTGTAGGGAATCTAAGCATTTGAAAAAGGTTTGATTAATTGATTTTTCTAATGCATTAGAGGCCTAAAGTCAGTAATTTATCATATGTTCCCTAAGATCCTAAAGTATTAATCTTTAAGCAGTTTATTCCCAGATGTGCAAAAATTGATCTCATACTCTCACTACGTCCAATGACTTAATATTTTCCTTACTTTACTAAATCTTAGGTGTAGTGAGATGAAATTTTTTCACCATTTTCTTATGAAAAATTTCAAATGCCAAATATACAGCACAGATGATGTAGCAGAGTTTTACGGTGAATACCCATATGCTCACCACCGAGATTCTACCATTAACATTTTGCTCTACTTGCTTTATTACATATTCATCTCTCCACTCCTTTATCCATCCATTGAATTTTTTTTTTGGATGCTCTTCAAAGGAGTTGTATATATATATCCTGGGTTCCAGGCCTTTGTTGGGTATATATTTTGCAAATATTCTCTTCTAGTTAGTGTTTGTCTTTTCAATTTCTTAACAGTGCCCTTGGATGAGCAGAAGTTTTTAATTTTTATCCAATTGAAGTTGCCTTTTCAAGTTTATTTTGAAAGAAATGGACCCAAGATTTCTATAACGATAATCACAATATTTCTGTTCTAATTACTGAATACTTTAGTCTTTTCAAATAATTTCATTTTTGTTATCCAAGGTTTTTTATTTTTTTAACCACTTCAAGTAAGGCTTATTGCCAGTAGAAAGGAGTATTCTACCTAGATTGTTTTTCTGACCATATGATTAAATATTCTACATGCATATCTTTCCATAATGTTTTGCTTTGCATATGGTGGACATGCAACATGTATAGGTGAATAATTGATAAGATGCAATGAATTGTATAATTTTCCTATTTAGGTATAGCTCTTCCATGACACCACAAATGTAAAAAAAAAAATCTGGCCATTTGTTTTGCTTTTAGTTAGAACTGCTAAATCTGTGAAGTGTGATATATGCTAAGCAAAGCACTGTTTGTGTTTTCTTAAAATCGAATTGTCAGAGAAGCCAATTATTTCATGGTACCAGGTAATCTGCCATAATAGTTTTTATTCTTCAGTGGGAAGATGTTCTTTAGGTTCTGATCTCCAAGTACTTTTTTGCTCATGCAAAAGTCTACCCATGTTGAGTTCTATTGAGCATATGGAATGAGATAATTGCAAAGTTTCTTCTAACTCCAATATGCTTGTTCTATTGCACTGTTCATTTCCAGATAGTTTTTTAATACAATGTTTTGTGAACATAATTCTGGTAAATATAAGTATACAGTAGAAAAAAATACGTGTTTTTCATCTTTTTTTTAAACCATTTTAAACAGAAAGATGTATTTCAATTAAAAGATGTGGAGAAGATAGCTTCCAAAGAGAAAGGCATTAGTAAGTGTTGAAGATATGCTTGAATATTTTGGGAAATATCTGTCATCTTTTCTGCCAACAGTCTTTAACATTATGGAAAGCAGAAATTTCTGGAGATGAAGAATGTATGTAAAAGTCCCCATGTGATGTCAGTGGGCTGTGGCCACAATTCTTGTGTTTTGTGTATGCAGCATCTGCTCTAGAAAAATAGAAATGGAATACATGCATACACATATATATACATACACACACAATATACACATTTATTTATGGGTGTAATTTACTTCAAAAGAAGTAAAAACTATTCGTGTATGTTCTAGTATTTATTAAATGCAACTTCGTGTCTTTACATGTTGTATTAGTTTCCTAGGGCTGTTGTAAAAAATTATCACAAATGTGATGGCTTAAAACAAGAGAAATTTATTTTCTCACTGTTCTGGAGGCCAGAAGTTTGAAATCAAGGTATCGGGAGGTGTGTTAGTCCTTTTTCGTTGCTATAACAGAACACCTGAGACTGGGTAATTTATAAAGAACAGAGTTTTATTTGGCTCATGATTCTGGGACAGCTGCATCTGGCATGGGCCTCAAGCTGCTTCTACTCATGGCGGAAAGTGGCAGGCAGCCGGCAGGTACAAACAGATCACATGGCAAGAGGAGCAAGAGAGAGAGAGGAGGTGCCAGGGTCTTTTAAACAACTAGCTCTTGTGGGAACTAATAGAGGGAGATCTCACTCAGGCCCCCCTCCCCCAGGGAGAGCATTAATCCATTCATGAGGGATCCACCCCCATGACTCAAACAGCCCCCAACACTGCCACATTGGGGATCAGATTTCCACATGAGCTTTGGTGAGAAAAACACATCCAAACTCTATCAGCAGGGTTGGTTCCTTCTGGAGGTTCTGAAGGAGAATCCATTTCATACTTCTCTCCTAGCTTCTGTTGGCTTCCAGCAGTTTTGGGCTTATAGACAACAGCACTCTAATCTCTGCCTTTGTCTTTACATGGCCTTCCCTTCCTTCTGTGTCAGTGTGTTTTCTCTCCTTCTGTCTCTTAAAAGGACAGAAATCATTGGATTTAGGACCCACCCTAAATTCAGGATGATCTCTTCTTGAGATCCTTAACTTAATTATTAGTTACATCTGCAAAGACCCATTTCCCAAGTAAGGTCACAGTCAGGTTCCAGGGGTTAGGACCTTGCATATATCTTTTAGGGGGTCACTGATAAATCCACTACACATGATATACTTGTTTTTTAAAAAACCTTTCTGATTATATAAGCTATACATGTTGATTTGAACAAATTTGAAAACTGTAAAAAAATATAATGAAGAAAATAGTTATTCATAATCCCTCTATTCTCAGGTCACCACTCTTAACATCTTAGTGTATTTTGATGTCTTATTCCTAGGTTCTGCTTATCTGTGTATTTATGTATCTGTCTTTCTCTGTGAGAGGGAACCATGCTGCACATACAGTTTTGTGTTTTTGTCTTTTTTCATGTAACATTATATTATCTACCTCTTCTTACATCATTTGCTTTAAAAAAAATGTGTTACATCTGAGTCTCCTAATATTTCATTCTCTGACAGCCTATCATACCATAATTTGCCTAGCCTGTTACCTTTTGTTGAATATTTAGGTTGTTTCCAAATAATGCTGCTAAAAGTAAGGTGTAATTAACATGCTATCTGTCCTGGACTGAATTATGTCCCCCCAAAATTCATATATTGAGTCACTAACTCCCAGTGTGATTGTATTTGGAGAAAGGGCTTTTAGGAAGTAATTAAGGTTAAAGGGTAGAGTCCCAATCCTATAGGATTGGCGGCCTTATAAGAGGAAGAAGGATCTCTCTTTGTGTGCATTTACTGAGGAAAGCCCATATTAGGACATTGTGAGAAGAGAACCCTCATCAGGAACTGAGTTGGCTACCACCTTGATCTAGCCTCCAGAATTGTGAGAAATAAATTTGTTGTATTTTGTTATGGCAGCTCAAGCAGACTAAGACACTATCCATAAATTTTTCTCCACATCTCGTCTTACTTCATTTGGAATTGTAACTAGAAATATAGATATAGAGAATATAGAGATTTGTGTAGATATTAGGCTTTTTAATATGTATTCTCAAATTTCCTTCAGGAAAGGCTATACCAATTTATACTCACGAATTTCTTGAAACTATTTTCGTTTTTAGTATTCTATCTTATTTCAATTTGTACTTCTTTACAAGTGGGGTTGAATGTTTTGCACACTTTATTAATTTTATTTAATAAATATTTAAATTTTTAATAGTGTTTATTATATTTGGGGATCTGCTCTAGGCAAAATTAAAATGGACATTGAAATATGGATATATTAGTACAAAGAAAGTAAAAATCGTTAATAGATTTCAGATATTTATGAAATGTGACTTTGCATTTTTTAAAAAATTTTATTTTATTTTGTCAATATACAATATGGCTGATTATTGTGGCCAATTACTGAAAGAGACTTTGCATTTTTACATGGTATTTTAAAAAATCTTTTTCTGATTTTTAATCTTAACCCTAACTATAGCATCTATTTTATTTCTTTATTTATTGTTTAATTTTTCATAATCGTTTAATTTTTCTTAGCAAAAGGTGACATTCATTGTTGGGGGAGGGAAAAAGAAGCAAAAAGAAGGAAATAAAAATTGCCTATTATTACCATCCAAAGATAACCACTGTCATATTAGTATATCCTGTCCTTTAACTTTATTTTTCTATATAATGTGTTTTGAATATATATTCATGCCATTGAAAATTCTTTTAAACATAAATGATTGAATAGTATTTCACTGCAATAAAGTACGTTAAAAAAACCAGTTACTGGACTGGTTTCCAATATTTTGCTATTGAAAACAATGCTTTGGCAAGTATATGCATATTCATCATTATTTTCTTTGGCTGAATTTATAAAAGTGGAATTTATAGAAGTGGAATTTTTCCATTAAAAATGCATAAATCTAAAGTTTTAGACACATATTGCCACGTTTCTCAACCCATGTTGACAGTGCCCATTTCCTTGAATTCTTTCTTATATGTTTTAGTGTTTTAAATTTGGTAATCAAGAAGTCATATCTCATTGCTTTATTTTACATTTCTTTTGAACATTTTTCTTATATATTAGCCATGCATATTTTGTAGATGCCCATTAATGTACTTCTATTGTTTTTATATGTCTTTTTTTTGCCATTAAGAGCTCCTTATTTAACTTATTAACTCTTGATCTGTAATATTTTTTGCAAGTGTTTCCCCAGTTATTTGCCTTTTCATTTTATTTATAGTTTTTCTCAACATTCAGTCTTAAAAATTATCTCTCCTAGCTGCTACGTCAGTGAAAGAAGTTCTTCAAAGTTTAGTTGATGATGGTATGGTTGACTGTGAGAAGATTGGAACTTCTAATTATTATTGGGCATTTCCAAGTAAAGCTCTTCATACCAGGAAACGTAAGTTGGAGGTTCTGGAATCTCAGGTAAGCTGCCACAGTTAAAAATAATTAGATTTGCTATACAACAAAAAGATTTGCCTTACTTAATTTCTTTTTGTTTAGTGGTTTCCCTTATGTTTTTAACATACATTATTTGACTCAAACTGTAAAAGTACTCAACATCTTTCTTTCTCCTAAACTGTACAAGGACCTTAAAATGTTTTAACTTTCATCTTATCACGTGTCATGATATTGTTTTCTAGTATCTTAATTTTTCTAATCAATAGACTTTTTTTTTTTTTAGCAGTTTTAGGTTTACAGAAGAATTGATGAGAAAGTACAGAGAATTCCCAAATACCTACTCCCTCTCCCTCCTCACCACTTACACAATTTCCCCTATTATTTACATCCTGTATTAGTGTGGTACATTTGTTACAATTGATGAGCCAATATCGATAACTTATTAACTTATTAACTAAAATCCATAGTTAACATTAGGGTTCAGTTTTTGTGTTCTACATTGTCTGGATTTTGACAAATGCATGATGAGGTGTCCACAATTACATTATCATACCAGACTAGTTTCACTGCCTACAAATCCTCTAGGCAACACCTGTTCATCACTCCTTGCCTTCAGCCACTGGCAACCACTGATCTTTTCACTGTCTCCACAGTTTGGCCTTTTCCAGAATGTCATATAGTTGGAATTATACAGTATGTAGGCTTTTCAGACTGTCCCCTTTTACTTAATAGCATGCATTTAAGTAAATAGGTTCCTCCATGTCTTTTGGTGGCTTGATAGCTCATTTCTATTTATTGCTGAATAATATTCCATCATATGGATATACCACAGTTTTTTATCCATTGAGCTATTGAAGAATAGCTTGGTTGCTTCCTAGCTTTGGCAGTTATGAATAAATCTGCTATAAAAATTTGTCTGCAGGTTTTTGTGTGGACATAAGTTTTCACCTCATTTGGGTAGATACCAAGTGGCATGATAGCTGGATTGTATGGTATGTATATGTTTTGTTTATAAGAAACAAACTGTCTTTCAAAGTGGCTATGCCATTTTGCATTCCCAATTGTTCCATATCATTGCCAGCATTTGTCAGTTTTATATTTTAGCCATTCTAATAGGTGTGTAGTGGTATCTTGTTGTTTTAATTTGCAATTCCCTAGTGATATATGATGTGCAGCATCTTTTCATATGCTTATTTGCCACCTGTTTGAGAGAAGGTATTTGCTTAGATCTTTTGCCAATTTTTCAATTGGGTTTTTTGTTTTCATATTGTTGAGTTTTAGGAGTTCTTTGTATCTTTTGGACACCAGTCCTAAAAGGTACATGTGTTTTTCAAAGATCAGACATGTGTTTTTCAAAGATTTTCTTCTACTCTGTGGCTTCTCTGTTCATTCTTTTGACAGTGTCTTTCACAGAGCAGAGATTTTCAATTTTAATGAAGTCCAACTGATCAATTTTTTTTTTCACAGACTGTTCTTTTGGTGTTGTATCCAAAAAGTCATGGCCAAACCCAAGGTCATCTAGATTTTTTCCTGCGTTATCTTCTAGGAGTTTTATAGTTTTTCATTTTACATTTAGGTTTACTATCCTATTATTATTTTGAGTTAATTTTTGTGAAAGGTGGGAAATCTGTGTCTAAATTTATTTTTTGTACATGGATGTCCAGAGTAACTGTATTTTAGCAGGAATTATTTCCTTTGTGATCCTATACATCTTATGTTATGGATTTAAAAACATTTCAAGGAGGAATCCAAAGTGAAGGACATGCTTTAGTAATTTATTCAGCCAGGGTTTAAGAGTGGTGAGATGTCTCAATCTTTGTTTGAAAATGCCTAAAATACCATCACTTCTTGAATATAGAATTCTTAGTTGCTTTTTCTTAGCATTTTAAAAATATTATTTTATTGTCTTCTGGCATCTATTGTTGCTCATGAGAGACGTTTGCCATCAATCTAGTTGTCTTTTTTATTTTCCTTAGTAATCCCTCTTGTTTGCTTTTGTATTAGCCCATTTCTGTTGCTTATAACAGAATACCCGAAATGGTTAATTTATAAAGAAAAGAGGTCTAATTCTTACAGTTTCGGAGCCTAGGAATTCTAGGGTCCAGGGGGTACATCTCGTAAGGGCCTTCTTCTGGTGAGAACTATACAGAGTCCTGTGGTGACCAGGGTATCACATGGCAAGAATGGCAAGAGCGTATTAATGTGCTCACTTGCTCTCCTTATAAAGCCCCCGGTCTACTCCGTAATAACTCCTTAAACCATTAACTCATTACACTATGAATGGATTAATCCATTTATGGGATCATAGTCCTCATGATCCAATCACTTCTCAAAGGCCCCACCTTTCAAATACCATATTGGAAATTAAGTTCTAACATGTGTTTTGGAGGGAGCAGTCATTCAACCCATAGTGGCTTTTAAATTTTCCTTTAGTATTTGAAGTTATGTTTTGATGATGTTTTACCATGGTAAGTCCAAGTTTGCATTTGTTTTTGTTTCTTCTGCTTAGAAGAAATAGAAGGCCCTGACTGCTTCTTTAAAGATTTAATTCTATTCTAGAAAATTCTAAGGCAGTGTTACTTAAACGATTTCCTCTTCCCTATTATCTCTGTTTTTTTTTTTTTGTTAAATTTTTATTTTGTCAATATACACTGTATATGATTATTATGGCCCATCACTGACACCTCCCTCCCTCCTCCCTCTCTCCCCTCCCCCCCAAGAATGTCCTTTCCGTTTGCTTGTTGTAACAACTTCATAGAAGTATAGTTGTTATATCTTCTTCCCCACCCCCACCCCCGGTTTTTTTTTGTGTGTGCATGTGGGTGAATTAATTTGTTTGTTTTTTTAGCTCCCACCAATGAGTGAGAACATGTGGAATTTCTTTTTCTCTGCCTGACTCGTTTCACTCAATATTATTCTCTCAAGGTCCATCCATGTTGTTGCAAATGGCAGGACTCTGATCAATGGAATAGAATAGAGCACCCTGA